TAATTATAAAATACATAATTTATGTAACATATTATAAAATTACCAACACAATTACGTGTGTTATGATTTACCAACATCATTTCATACAAATTTTCTTTTTAACTTTCACATATTATTAATTTTATATATATCATTTAATAGATTCAGGTAAGGTAAAAATGGATAATAATTAAATGAAATATATAGTTGAGGGAAAAAACCGAACACAAAAATGATCAGTTAATCATTTTTCATTATATATTTATGGCTTCTGAAAAAGATCTCTACACAAACACATTGCTAACAAAAATATACATAGTTAAATAAATACATATCCCCAAACTAGGGTCTTCTCGATATATACCATTCAGTCTACTAAATCAAGTAGTTTTTGAAAAGTGTACACTGAAACGATATGGTTTCAGAATGATGGACTCCTACATAGGACTAGCAAACACATTTTCAATAAACTTAGATTGGCTATTGGGATAACTTTCCTCACTCCAAACTTTCATCAGTAATAAATACAAGCTTGTAAACAGAGACAAGATGTATTATAACCGAATGATCGAGGAGCTGTGCATGTTTCCCAGTGAAGAGCCTTTGTTAAAGATGTTTGATTACGTACACATGATACAGAATGATTCCTCAGATAATGTTTTTCCCTCAAACTGTCCTGTCGAGTGAAATTCTTGTTCAATCTTGTCTGTAAGATATCAGCATTGATCCCGTCTGTGAAAGATAATTGTCGCACCATGTTAGGTAATGACTGTTTGAATGGAACTCTTGTGGCTTAAATCACGGGTTCAAAACCTACAGTGACATTAATAATGAGGTGATGATGTCAAAGAAAGTGTCCATACCGACATTTTTGATAGACTTACTGTAGAAAATTGTGCGTGGATTGAGCTAGACTTTGTTTATAGTGTCTTCTTGTCTTGAGTTCTCTCCTGAGATTCCAAGTGGATAAGCGACAACACCCACAATCTGTGGAGATCACTCAAAATAATTATGAAATCATACATCAAGCTAACACCGTATTTTTTCTTTCCTATTGAAGATTGAAATAACATGCTAATTAAGTGTATCACTTACGACAAACTATGTGCAGCAAAAAATAATGGAAGCCTCCCCAGCTCTGCACCTCCCCAGTTCCTTTTTTGGTTTGTAATTACTTGCTCTACTGCAGATCCTGTTGCGGTGAGAACAAACTGAAGGACATGTCTGTTACGACCACCAAACTTGTAGGATAGGAAAATTGATAAGTTATATGGTTCACCAGAAAAGAAACTGCTATGACATACCAGAGGAAAGAGAATGGCCATAATCCCATAGCTCACGAGAGGAGAAACAAAGAAAATAGCCAGAACACAAGGGCTTCCTGTTATACAGTAATGGTATTGTAGATGTTAGAGCAGGCCCCAGCACAAAGGCAGGAATACATTAAATATATATATATGTATCTTTTGGTGATGACTTGAGTATTAGAGGCAAACAACACACTGATCAGAGCAAATTTCAAGTATTCTAATTTCCATACTGTTTCTTCAACCTTTTCTGTTTGAAAAATTATGTGAAGATCCCAAGTTTCATTACTATTACTACAAAAAATTTCACCACATTGGAGTTTTTTCTGCAACTTTTAGGCCACAAACTAAGAGACCCCAAGGTGACCACCAAATAATATTTTGGAAAGCTGAATAGCCAATGGATTAAATGGCACAAACAACTCCAGACAAAAGCAATTACCAAAACCAGCGAAAAATGCCCAGTTGGTTTCAAAGAAATTCAGCCTGTTGTCTAGGCTTACTTCAGAAAAGTTCCACTTATACCTAAGAAGAAATTCAAGAGCCATCAAGCCATTGTCAGGATAATAGTGAGAATAAAAGAAGGCTAAGAGTAGAGGCATAGTCACCACATACTCAAAACAATAGTACGCATACATCCATGAAAGAAGTAGGAAATTGAGTGCCATTCCAACAAATGGTATAAACCCTGTGCAATAAACCTGCACATGATTTATGCTCATTTAAACACAACACACAAAGAAGACACAAAAAGAATTCCATAAGTACAGGTTAATGACTTAATGATTAACAAGTGAAGAAAAAAAGAACAAAGACTATAAGAGCATAATTTATATAGATAACTGTACTTCACCTCAAGGAAAAAGAATGTTAAAAGAAGTACCGAATAGACCTGCTCCCCTATACCAATCATGATTCTGCAGAAAAATTAAAAGAAAAATAAGTGGAGCTTCCACATTTGGAATGAAGTATAATTGTTAATTTAAAAAACAATTGCCGACAATCAGCACTACCCTTCAACACTGGTTGGCCTTTCTGTCTTCCCTTTATATTCTAAGGTCAATGCATCACTTTGTTTTGAGGGTTCTGCTACAGAAGGCTTGGGATTCTTCATCGCATCAAAACCAAGCTTTGCAATGTCATTATACCTGGATTAGGATGTTAACATAACTGTTCAGATGAAACAGGAAAAGTAATTTTTCTTTGAAAAGAAGAAGGGTGGTCAGATAAAAGAATTGGAAGAACAGACAAAAAAAGATTTTCACATACACTGTAAGACACTGTTATTTCAAAAGAAATGTTACTGGACAAAATGGTCCACCATGAATCTAACATGTACTTATGAGACATAGAATGTCTTAATACCAGATCATGGTTGTAACCTACAGACTTCTAACGATAAGAGGACATTTTGTGATGTATGTTACATGGTTCCACTAAAAGTTACATTGACCCACTTAAAACAGTCTGAAGGATATGAATAAAGCACTGCACCCATGCTAGAACAGAAGGAGACATACCAGATACTGCTGAGAACAAAGCTGAAGACGTACAAGGGATAGAACCAAAATATCTGTAATGGATTAAAATAGTGGTTACACATGGTTCAAGAAAGTATACTTTTTCACCAGGGAACAAGGCCCGCAATAAACAAAAGTGTGTCTTTTCTGAAGCCTCTTCACAAGTTCTATAAGATGGAAATGTCATGGCCCTGACATAATTCATCAATTGCTTACTTACATAAAAGAGTTGTATAAGTCCACCTCGCAAGAAGGAATAGAATTTCAAAATACCACCCAATAAGGAAAGTTCTTGACAACTACTCCCCGAGCACCGATCAGGTAATATCCATTCCAGTATTGGGATGACAACTGAGTTTAGGACAAAGAGACTGCAACGAGATTATATAGATTAAGACAGAGATATTGAAAATGCTGATCATCATCCAGAAGATATGCATAAGGAAAAATAGGAGGCTGAACCCCTTCCTAGAACTACATTGAACTTAAACTGCAGAAAAAGGTAACGATTTGAAATTAACAACCTGATAGCTTTATTCTATCTGCAATAAGGACGCAATTGAAGTCTACCCTTCTCTATCAATACTATGACTTTTACAATTACACTTGATCATAAGATTTAGGAACTGCAATTGAAACATAGTTTATTCACATAAACCCATTTTCTCAAGTGAATGCCATATAGTCATTGAATTATTGAAATGAACCAGAAGATCAACGACTTAACTTCATAAAATCATAAGTAAACACAACAAATAGAAAAACAAGCAAAATTATACATATAATAACAGGATCATGAATGATCTCATACCAATCATCAATCCAAGAAAGACCCATTTATTCAACTAGATTGAATTCAGACCAAAAACAAAGTAAAAGGTTCTAATTCAATGTTCATTATACTAGTAATTTCAACATGAACACAAAAACAAAAACTTCATAACAATCTATAGAGAGATAAACTACCTTCCTAAAAATATGAACCCATTCAATAGAAAACACTGCCCTGTTCTAATCAAAAGCTTTGTCGACCTGCAATATCAACAAAAACGCCAATCAATTAAACCCAACAAAATAATTTTCCAAAATTCTAAAGTTTTATCAGCCACCAAAAACCCAGAAACCCAATAATCAAATAACATCATTTTGTTCCCCAATTCATGACACTTACAATGGTAATAAGGATCAAAGAATAGTGTAAAACCGAAACAAGTTTAAACAAACCTGCAACAGAGAATGACAACCCTGTGAAGACAGCAGGCTTCCGAAAAACCCGCTATCCACATCAAAGACGCTTGCTTTAATTTCCTTCTCGTGGCCATTATTGAGGGCTTTAAAGCTTCCATTTTAATCCTATTTGGGAAAGGAAAGAAAGACTGAATCTTGGTAGAATAAAAAGCATCAAATTGAAAATACAGTTCAAAGAAGCATCAAATAGCTAGCGTAAAGCTAAGTTCTTTGGTCTTGGGTATTCTATTAGAATTACTGAAGGGTAACCCATGATGACGAAGGCTTAATCATGTCGCACCACGTGTGATCTACGTGGCATGGGCGGTACTGCTTACCGGTGTAGGAATATATAAAAGAAAGAAAAGGCACTTGGAAGAATATGGTTGCCGATTTTCCACAGGCTCTTGAGCTCTCTCTTCTCCCCTCCTCCGATTTTGAAGAGAAGTAGAGAATCGTCCATTGGGGAATAGATTTAGCGTAAGAACAGAGGAAGGTTTGGTTTGTACAGAGAGAAAGGGGTATGGCGCAGCCGAGCAAAGAGCCTTGCAAGAAGGAGGCTTGCGATATCCAAGCTTGTCTCAGCAAGAACAATTTTCTTCCTAAAAGGTAATATTTTTCTTCATTTTACGCATTAATGGAAGTGGGTTTGCCTTCTTTTCTCTGATTTCTTTGCTGTGATTGTTGGGTTTAGAATCCCTGATTTGATTGCGGAAATTTGGAATTCGATGTTTTAGTTGACCAGGGGATTTTGAAGTATTAATTTCAGTGATTAATTCGCTTACATTAGTGATTCCCTGAAATTAGTCCTGAATAGCCTCTGGAATTATGGCGATGTCTCTGTAATTCGGTGCCTCGACTATGTCTGCGGTGGTTTAGACTTGAGACTCGCAATGGAGGTCTCGATTTCTAACTTTGAGACACAGCTGAGGAAGGATTAAAGGAAGGGAATGTTATTTTTATTTTTAATTTTTTGAAAGGTTCACAATTGAAGGACACCCATGCCGCTGACCTGGGTTGTGGGGACATGATTTGATGGTGTTCTCTTATAATTTCTGCTTTCTCCCCTACTGAGAAAAATCACTATGATTTTGAGAATCAAATGTTCTAAAATGGTGCAGGTGCCAGAGAGTGATTGAATTGCTACAGGCTTGCTGTGAGAAATGCAATTACAGCTCCACACATTGTGCTTCTGTGTCTGATCTTCTCAAGCAAATAACCAAGTGATGTCTTTCACCATGCGGAAGCTCCAGCAGCGCTAACATTTTCCAAGAGTTGATTCTGTAACTTGGTTTTATTTCATGAAGCAATTACTGTATCTTTGACCTTTTCATGTTAGATGAGTTTGTCTTTCATGTGCCAGAATTAAACATGTTGCAATCAATTTACCAAGAAAGAATACAGTAAGCCAATAAATTTTGCCCTTTTTTCAAAATGACCCCTTTTGCTCTGTTGTCCTTGTTAATTGCTAATATTTTCTTTATTGGTTTTTTTAATGTGTGCTTTTAAAAAGGACAAATTAAAAGTATAAGAAATATATATATTTTTTATATATTTATTTAAAAAAATAAAAATTAACTTTTAATTTATTAATTATTCAATTAAATTTATTTATTTGACACTAACATTAAAATTAATATCAATTTTTATATTTTTTTATATACACAACTTTTATATTTTTTTATGTGCACATGTTAGGAAAGCCCTTTCTCTATTGATTTTGCAAATGATCCTTGAGAGAAATCCACCACAATCTTGGCAAAATGGAACACAAATGATACAACATGTGTAACCACTGCTCAATTTTACATTGGCTTTCTGTATCAAATGGGGGAGAGTGTATACAAAGAGCTAAAAGCTCAAGTCTCATCGTGAAGCCAAAAGCAGAATGACAGGGAACTCTCTCACGTTTTTGGCTTAGAAAAAGAATGAATGGCATGGAGCAAGTGGAGTGCATGACAAAATACAAATGGACCTTGGCAAGTTATCTCCCAAAAACTATATTGAGTTTCGTAGAATTGGGCAGTATGTGAAGGAGATAGTATCAAGTTGTCCGCGATGAATCCGGCCTTTTGAGAGGGATGGCTTCAGGATCAAAGCCATCTTCTTCCAGACGCTTGAATGAGCGCATGGGCAAAGATGTTGCTAAAGTTGAACCTGAGAGGAATGTTGTTAATCAAATGTCAAAATGCCACAAGTCATGACAAGTATCTCAATTAGAAAAATGCTTCGTACCAGGAATCCGGCTCCCTTGTTTCCAGTGCTCACTCAAAGGAAACAGTCCTGGTAGGCATGATTATTATCAGATAAAGTTTTGATGATTAAGGTTGAAAAGATGAATATAGAGAGCACATACCATCACCATCCTTAGTATTGTGAAGAAGAAAACTTCCCGAGAGGATGGTGACAAAGCCACACATCTGTGTTATTATTTGGGTTGGATTTTGCCTATCCCAATCCTAATGAAAGAAAATTAAACAACAGCACTAAGTATATGATTAATCCAAATAAAATTGCAATTACTAAGAACATTAAAATTAAATTGGTCATCATCTAGAGCATAAGTGTGACAGCTGGAGAGAGAAGCGGAAAGCTAGAAACAGTAGACCTCAACAAAGTTCAGAATATTTCTTCACAAGAATCAGTCCATTTATATACAGGTTCAGGCAGTAAGAATTCTAGAAAGTAGTAAAGATTTTGTGACTTTGTAAGGGAGCAAGCAGCCAAAGTGACAGCTCAAATAACATAATCATCAAATCAGATTTATCTTAAGTTACAAACTCTAGATCATATAGATAAAACCAAAGCATGCTGATGCCATCACTTTCAAGGATTACCTTAAACATGATTACACTTGCCAAGATGGTTAGTGATGTAAACATAACATAGTATATGGGAGAAACAACAGCCGTGTTAAAAGTGTCAAGTGCCTGCAAATGGGAAACAAAACAAAATCAATTGATTAAAATCGAAAGCATAAATCAGTAGAGAACTTAAGATACACAGTACTGAAAGGTGAGAAAAATCCCACACAAGCAAATCCAAGCACAGTAAAGAGGACTGACAACAAAAAATTACCTTGTTCAAATAATTCATTTGGGTTAGCACACAAGCAATCACAACTAAAGTAAAGGCCCATGTTTGTGGATATATAAGCTGATTCATTCCTGAGAAGGTTAATTTCAGGGCAATTCCAAGTGCTTTAACGCTCATGACCTGTCAAATGCTAACCTTGTTATAAAAATGCTAAGAAAGAATAAGCATATGAAACAGAATAAAGTGACGCACAACTAAGTGAGATACATTACCGAAAGGGAGCCAATGAGAGAACAAACCCCAATGTAAATCATTATGTGGGTCTGCCCATATTGTGGTATGAAGTGGAATATAAGAACAAAGGAAGCTGTTACAACCAAAGCTGCGTAAAATAGAAAACCTGCCAAGAAGAGCGGATGGGTTAGCTCATTCGGGCTTACAGTTTAAAAACAGTGAGTGAGTGTGTGTGTGTGTGTGTGTGTGTATTATACAATGACAAATCAATCAACAATTTTTCTTCTTCTCTACATATTCTGGTGAAACTCAATTACCTGGCTCTGTAGCTAGATCCCAAACTTCTATCACAGATGCAATCTCACGTTCTTGTGGGGCATGCAGAACAATTGTTGTAGAGCCCACAACACACAAAACACAACCAAGAATTCCAAAAGCATTTAATTTCTCCCGTAAAATGATATGAGCAAGAACAGCACTGTAAAGGAGAAACAATGATCAGGACTCTAAACCAAAAGGATAAACCCAAAATTTGGATTGACTTCTTTCATGCCTGATAATTATGCTGACTGCACCAAGAGGAGTGACAAGTATAGCAGGTGCAAATGCATAAGCTGCAAAATTAGCAATTTCTCCAACAACCACTGTTGCAATGACAAATGCCAATCAGAACTCACTCACCAACTTGTATACAATCATAAACCATAAGCAATTCAAATAGGTAACTAAATCATAAAGCAACTGTCTGTTGGAATTTCTCTTCTTGTTTTTACTACAATGTAAAAACCATAACATTGAAATGGTGATAGGTGAACTAATAATATAAATAAAACTCACTTGTTATCATGCCTGCCCACCAAAGTGGCTCTAACAAATAAGAATATCCTCCACTTCCTGTTTAAGAACAATAGATTGATGTCATTTGACACTCTCTAACAGAAAAGAGTAATTCAAAAATTATAATAAAGCATGCAGAAGTGAGAAAGCAGTCAGTGACAGTGAGACCAAATGCACCTGAAGAGATGCTAGTATAATACAAAGCAAAAGGATACACACAAAGTAGATTCATGAGGAAGCAACCACCAAATCTTGAATAAAAAGTTTCTTATCTGACAATGAGCAAAGAACTCTACATGTCAGTAGTGGAATCCATTCCCCATCCAATCCCATCTACTCCAATGACAACAAAATTTTCTTTTTTTGGCCCAAAATTGACCTATAATAAAGTGTCAATTTCTAAATCTAACAAGACAATTACTAATAGTTACAATCACTTATTACATCTAAGTTAACAGCAACATAAATCCAAAGGTATTCAAGTTACCACTATACGCAGATCAAATCAGCACCCAATCCACTTTGGTTTACTTTAAAGTGAAAAATGGGCAACTATCAGTAGTAGAAACACCCATTCCTCAGCAACAAGTAACTGATCCTTAAAAGATCCAATAACTAGGAACAGAACAACAAATCTCAATCAGCCGTTTCCAATCTGAATTCAAGCTAAACTAATCAGCCATGCGATCCATATAGATCAAGCAATCACTGAAACAAACAGTGCAAAAATATTAACAAATTGAAAAATTCAAACTTTGCAATTCGTTAAAAGTACAGTACCTGCCCTGACACCAGAAGCCCCGGCCCTTTTCAAGCCCTTCTTCTTAACAATAAAACTAGCCCCGATAAACAAACTGGACGACAGCGCCAATACCAAACCCTTGATGTTATCGGACGACATGCCATCTCTCCAGCTATGCTTAGTCGCCATGGTAAACTTCCGAAACCCAAAACCTAAATCTCTAGGTTAACCTATCATGAGCGCACAAATCTCCTCAGTCAACCCTAATTCTCGACTCAACGAGCTTTTTGCGCTTGAATTGAAACTCCGGCAGCGCCCAAAAACCGCGTCAACGGATCTTACAAAAAGGGTAGCAAAGTTAACCAATCCTTGACTCGACTTTGAAAGTCACGAGAAGGTTGAGTGAGACGGGCGAGAAAAAAGTTAAAAATAAGAGGACAAAGGAATGAGATTGGAAAATCAGTCTATTTACAGAGACCCAGTGGAATCTTGACTCGGTTGGACTCGGAGTGAGTTGACGGAGCGAGTGGATCTCGGACACGGAGAAAGGAAGACGGTCGCCGGCGGTGAGGCGAGGCGGAGAAAGAGAGAGGAGAAACAGCTGGGAAAAAGGTTGCTTGGAATAGAAGAGAGAGAATGGCGTGTGGGGCTTATGTTCTGCCCAAATAAAACTTCTCTCCAACTCGCCAAGGATCGATCTTTGAAAGCTACTCACTCTTTGAATATAATAAAGTATTTACGAAAGAAATTTTCAAACTTTCGTTGATTGATTAATGGGGTAATGAATAAAATTTTTTATTATAAATTTATTTTAAAAAATAAAAATTAATTTTAAATTATTAAATATTTAATTAATTTTATTTATATAATAATAATATTAAAATTAATGAGATTAGTGTATTTCAATTTTAACTTTTAAAAATAAATGAAGTTTTAATTTATATTTAGAAATTGTAATATCTCATTAGTAAATATTGATATTTATTTTTGAAAATTCATTATATATTTTAATATAATTAATTTTTAAATTTAAATATCAATATTTAATAAAATAATTTTTTAAATTTTGAATTGAGTTTTAATTAAATAAAATAAAATAGTTTAAAATTGAAATTTTAATTATTTTTAAAATAAAAAATAATATGCATTTTTTCTATATATATAAAAGATTCTTATTATTTTCCTCCTTTTGTCATACGTTTATTAAAATAAAAACTAATAATAATTTTTTTATTTGGTATTTTGGTTGTACTGTTAGAATACCTCCATGACTTCTTATTTATTATTATCATTATTTTTTTTTTTGGATGAATTCCATGACTTCATCATTTTCATTAAAAAAATTGATAGATCTGTGACTTTTTGCTGTGCAATGATACGAAAAATCACACACGCATTATTGTTAATCTGAAAAATGATCTGTTTGGGGGGTTGTAGGCCAAGAGCCATAAAGCATTCTTTATTATAAAAAAATAAAAGTTAGTTCTGCATTATACATATTTTTTAATTTATATAGTTTTATAAATTTAATGTTCTTTAATTTAAATTGAAATAAACAGTAAAAAAAGTTAATTATTGAATAGAAAGGTCAAAGACTCCAATTAATTTAATAATACATACATTTCATTACAACTTTTTTTTAGCAAAAAAAGTTATATTCTGGTGCTGCATGCTACATTCCCAATTATTGAGCATTGATTTTTTTTTATTAACGAGAAAGAGGGCTTTAACCCCCTGAGCCCCCCTCCAACTTGTTGTCTTTGGGATTATTAACCCTCCAACATTCAATATAAGAAAATTGGTCCTTAAACTACGCGTGATAAAGGTGATTGACCCAAAATGGACGGTAGCTGTCCTTTGACCATCCATAGTCCGTTAACCCAGAACCTGTCAATGCCTTATCAACATAAAATTACCATGCCATCACATTTTTCCAGTATTGCCGGCATTTTAATTAATTTTATATAAATAAAATAACAAATTAACAATGAATAAACTAATTACATAAATATAAAATTATCAATATTTTATAAAAAAAAGTGTCTGTCAGTCTTATCTCTTAAAAATTAGAAGGAAAATCATCTTAAAACTACGTCGTTTCAATAATTTTTTATTAAAAAAGATTAAACTACCCTATTTTTAAAGTATGCATTAAGGTGATATTTGTCTTTTTTCCTCTTAATTTTTGGGAGGTAAGGCAAACAAGCACTAACCCTATATTTTATATATAAATATTATAATTACAATATTATGTAGTGTTGTAAGTATATAATATAATGCATTATTATATAAAAGGTTTACTCATGATATTATATATATTTATTTATTTAATATTATATTTTATTAAAAAAGACTAAACTACCATATTTTTAAAGTATGCATTAAGGTGATATTTGTCTTTTTTTCTCTTAATTTTTTGGAGATAAGGCGGACAAACATTAACCCCATATTTTATATATAAATATTATAATTACAATATTATGTAATGTTGTAAGTATATAATATAATGCATTATTATATAAAAAGTTTACTCATGATATTGTATATATTACCATGCCATCACATTTTTCCAGTATTGCCGGCATTTTAATTAATTTTATATAAATAAAATAACAAATTAACAATGAATAAACTAATTACAT